CTCGCAAGATAAAGCTTGCGACGGCTTTCAGCCGCGAGCTTTTCGTGCTTGCGAACTTGGGAATCCTTGAGAATCTCGCAGTCGAGTCTGTCCTTTACTGAAATCGTAAACGTAAACGCAGAACTTGGCAAGTAGAAGTTAAAAGACGGAATTTTCGCGATTGTTATAATATTTTTATGGTGACGGATATTTCATAGCGCATTATTGTTAAAAATATTTTTATCTGATAACAAAGAGAGCTCTTAAAATCATACAAGCTAGAAAAAAAACCTGTGTGAGCCGACATAGATAACGATGCGTAAATTATTGTGTAAATTCGGTGATAATTACTTTAATGCTATTAATTAATTTAATACGATATAATTATGTTATTTAATAATTGATGTTCAACATCTCTAAGTGTCGAAATGATATAATTTACGAGTAAGTGAAGAAATAAACTCAAAATAGTGTATTTTAAAACGTAAATTCTAAGAAATAAATAAAACACGTGTCAATCTTTACATACAATTTCATAAATATTAATTTTATTGAAAAAATATATTTCCACAGTTTTGCTTATAATTATGTTAATGTTATGTTTTTTACGCAAATTTTTTAATATTTTAGCAAATTCGGTCACGTGCACTAAATTAGTACATACATACTAAACGCTGCTATACATAAAATTAACAAAATTCAATACAAATGTATATACACATTAATTTTTACTTTAAATAAATATTATTAAATACTTAACAATGATATTATCACGTTGTCTAACAAAATATACATTATTATTTTATTGTTAGATTATTATATGATTATATTATTATTGTATTTAAATATATTTATACATAATAAAGCAGCCTTTAATATGTATTTAATCCACTATGGTGGAAGTAATAAAATTCACCATTTGCATTACTTTCTACACTGTTAAAAATATCATGAAATTTAATGTATTTTTAAGTCACACTAGTTGAATTTAATTTTATGACATTATATTAAATTTAATGTTATTTGTAACTGAAAAGGATATTTATGTACAGTGTACATGTAATTTACATGAAATTTAAAATACTTTTTATAAAATTTTATGAAATTATTGTATAATACTTTTCATAAAATTTTACGTGGATTTGCATGAAATTTAATATGAACATGTTACATTATATGTTATATTTAAGACTACTGTAACTTAGTTATCATTTAAATCATTAATTACTTTTTAGTTATCTTACGACCATAAGCTTCCATTGCATATTATTTAAATTTATTACGAAATTTGTAACAATATACATATGTAGTTGTCACAAATTTTTGATCCTAAAATTTCGTAAATTTTGCTGAGTTCCATACAAAATTTCATGACTTTCTCTAATATTTTCAATAGTATTTTGAAATTGTTTATATTTTTTCCTGATTCAGAAACCATTAAATATTTTATTGAGATCTCAATTTAACATAACAATGTAAATTACTATTAATATTGCTGTGCACTGACACTTCTTTCACGTAATTGTTAAGTTGGTAGTAATCTAAAATTGTTTAGACATGATGTACAAATAAACTTATTTAAAGCCAAGAATTTTAAGTTTCCAGAAAATTTTGCAAAATTCCCCGATTTTGCCTCTGATTTCTTTGACTATTTTAAATTTCTCTGACATTTATTTGAATCTTGATTTCTTTGATTTCCAATTTTGTGACAACCTTATTACTTATCTCGTGTTAAATTGATACAAAAATTTGAGTGGACCATTTAGCACAAAATGAAATGTTTTAACTTTATCATAAATTTTCCTGTGTGCGCTGATTGTTGACTCATACAGATTTTCTTTTCTGCCTGTCATTTTTATATTCGCGACGTAGTGCACTTCCGGAAACGAACGAATTGCTCTCTACGTCTTTCTGATTAGTCGAATGAATAAAAATATTAGTCGAAGCGGAACGTCGCAGACATGAAATGCATATCGAACCGGCTCGATAGATACGTCTATAAATTCAATCGCGGTGGGATCGGTTTAAAAATCCATCGGAAGTCGCGTCGATTAATCTGGAGAGTCGATTCGGTTCGAAGTGCCGTGTAATCGAGATGCGCCTTCTTCTGAAATTTATTCAAAATTCACGTCTGTTCGCTGCCGAAGGATCGAAATAGCGCGCGTCGACTTCGATTAGGATCGCGCATTATTCAACAATCCACCGGAACGGATTAGATCGATGTAAAAGCGAGGGCCGATTAATTAATTCGATTGCGCTGGATAAGGAGCCGTTCTTCATTTAATCATCGGCCCCATCGAGACATCTGTTTCGGGGTGCCGATCGAATTCGAACGAATGTCTGTTCTTTCCCGTGTCGCATGATCGTCTAATTAAAAAAACAAGTTAAAATCGGTAATTTGCGTTTTGATTTAAATACACTGAAAAAAATGTATTTTCTATTTGTGACTATAATGCATTATAAAATAATTATTAGGTGCTTCATTTTTATAGTTATTACTGCTGTAAAATGTTGGTAATAAAAACGACTGTAGTTTTATCGATCGTTCTCTCTGAAAATGATTATAGTTTTATTGTCGTTTTAGCGAGACACGTACATTCTTTAGATATAAAGAATTATAAATACCTATATATAATATAATTAAATTATTACTAATCCTTGGTAGACATTTAATGCACTTTTGAGCAATTAATGGCCAGTTATATTAACTTTGTTTAATAATTAAGAAATAAAACTACTTAGGATCCCAAGACGTAATGTTTCGCCTGCAATTACTGCTCACAAAAGGTGCGCAAGATCTTAACCCATTTACTGAACAAAAACAAGACAATAAATAGACTACGTAGTATTTTAACTAATAATAATAATAATCTATTCACTAGACAATAACTACAAGTTTACAAATTGTACATATTTTTATTAGGAAAACTACCTTAGCCACTGAATAAAACTCTTATCATCTTGTTCTTGTCCATTTCCTACACAATACTTTTATAATGAGAATACAGTAATTAGGCAGCAGCTGGATGAATGTTAGAAAAACTAAATACATTTCTTCCAGCAGTTCCAGCGAATATTAGAACAGTAAAAACTATAAAGATAGAGCTTCTAATCGTAATTATTTATCCTGCAATTATAGTCACAAATATGAAAAGTCGTAATCTCAGTGTACTTCCCCATGGCGACCTCGGCGCGGAACGCTTGCTGCAGAAAAATTTGGAGAGGATAGAAGTGATAAATTAACGAAGGATGATGAACGTCGTACTATCGTGGACCTGCGATTTTATTCAGCGGTATGTAAGTAGGATATAGATAATTAATTTAATTGCACGCGAAATATACGCTTTATACGTTTTACATGCGAGGTAATTTAATGCTGTGGATACACGATCTCCGTGCGAAAACTTCGCGCGAGGTGGAGATACTAATAAACTTAAGCATGGCTAAAATTCTCACCGATATTATTGTATGATTTGAGTGACGTCGTGAGAAATCGTTGAAGTATTCTCGCCTTCTCGGTGCTCTTGTATATAAAATAACGTATTCCCGCAAACACGTTTAACGGTAACGCTATTAAGGCGATGCTCGAAAAACCACGAATCGACATCCAAATTGATGGAATCTATCAATCTTTGCCGAGCAAGAGAGCTCTTTAAAGTCTTATGTCGAACAGCTGCCGTCATTATTAATTTCGTTCGGTCCAATGACGGAAATTCGTGACCCAATTTGTATCTGAGAATTATTAAAGAACCAGAGAAGGAGCTTTGTATTATTCCGTTTTTTACCTCGCGAACTCGAAAAAATATGAAGAAATCTTGCGAGTGCAAAGTCAAATTAATTTGCCCGAACCTTTTGTTCACGAATGTGAGCTTTTAAATAACGGATAATAGTAGAAATAAAAATGTAATAATTTCTTATTAATTGTATAATAATAATATAATATACAAAGAAGAAGGAGGAAGAATAAATTCTTCAACGTGGACGGATGTAAGTTTTGCATTTTTTGGGTCTTTTCGTCGTTGAAATTCGCGGAGGTCCGGAAGTGAAACTTGTTTGCCTTATTGTCGTCGATGGAAGTTTAGCGTCAAGCACACGGTGCCGAAAAGAAAAGAGGGACGAGTGAAAAGAAATTGCACTGAAAAGAAAGCGTTTGTACTTGTGACTATAATACTTGCATGGTAAAATATTTATGGTTGGGGGTTCCATCTTTATTGTTAAACTACTTTTTTTTAGTACCAATTATTATCTTTATATTTTTTTTATATACAAAGTGACAAAAGCTCGATCGCAAAGTTTTATGTTTATCATATAAAAAAGCAACATATATTTACAAAAAACAAATTCTTGAATGCTCAAAAGAGTGTTCATATTTAATATCTTATTAAATATCAAAAATAATAATTAATATTTTTTTAATGGCACTTTTAAATCCTTAGCTTTGATACGGATGGAAGTTTTTAAGAAGCTTTCATCAAAGCATTAACGATGGCATCTTTCCATCCAGATAAATTTTTCTGAGTACTCAATATAGCATTTTTCAGTTCATCAACTGTTGAAAATCTTTCAATACAGAATGTGTTTTTAGTGTTTAATAAGATATATCTATAACAGTCCAGAGTTTATCGTTTTTTATCTTAATAATTATTACCCAAGTAATTTCGATAAAACAAATCTTTGTGGCTAAACTTTTTTGTCATCTTATAGAAAACTAAAAATATAATTGTAACAATAATCACAGTAATTATTATATAATATACAGTAATAACTAAATGCTCATTATATAACATTACATTAATGATTATAAAATGGAGCTCGTAATCATAATTATTTTATCATGCAATTATAGTCACAAATCCCAAACACTTTCCTCTCAGTGTGTGTCACACGAGAAACGCGCGAGGACTTGAGAAGCGCCGAACACGAGCGAGAATCGCGTTCGCGATGTATATCTCGGGTTCGCGTGAAGGGCCGGTGAAGTCCGAGGGTAGGATTAATTACTATTATAATGAATTTCATATTACCATAGGAGTTGTGAAACTGTGGATGGTGCGAGTCGATCCCGGTTCCTGGGTGGTGCATGTCCAGCATGGCGTCCGGCTCGCCTCCGCTCTCAGAGCAGTTGCTCAGGGCTAAAACCAAACCGATAGACACACACCTTGCGTTTACACTTCTCATCAGTCTTATTTGGTATCGTCGAACCATTAGCCCGTTTATAATTTCTTTCTCTGTTTGTCCCTCCTGATTCCGTGCCCGCTCGTTCCTTCCCTCGCTCGCGCGCTCGCAAACTTCGGATTAAGCCGGGCGATCGTTTACGTATTAAATTGTCAAAGGAACAAGTCCCTTTGTGGACCTTTAAAAGCTCGGGAGAGACGCGAAAGGGCCAAACGGCAAGGGCATTTGTGGATGTAAATAAAACAAGATTCGATTCAATTGAAACAAAGCATCTCAAAGTGAATCTAAAAATTCCAAATCCCGGCGACTTGGAGAATTTAATGCCGCGTGAATCCAAATACTCGAGAATACGAAGATCCGAGAAACCTAAAATCCGATGATTCGTAAATCCGAGGATTTGTAAGACCTGAGGGAATCCAGGAATCTAAAGCAACCGAAAATCTAGTTATCCAAAAATCCAAAAACTCGGAGAATTCACGAATCCAGTGTCTCCGAATGCAAGAACTGTAGAAACGGCGGTACGTTGTTTTGCGAGCCAGGAAAGGAACGGTGCGGAGACAGCTCGAACGGAGAGCACGATGGTAATTATTGAATTAAAAAAAAAAATTCATGGTGGTGACGATATCGTTTCCGAGCGCTTTATTTCGTTAAGATTGAACCCACATTGTGTGTGTGTGTGCGCGCTAGCTTCTGCCTCTCTTCTTTGCTCAACGAAACAGAAACGACAAGATCACAAAACGGAAAAACACACTTCAAGAAAGAAATCATACAACATAAAACGGGGCGTCACACACTGACTTAAGGCTCACGTAACTTATGGTAAAACTAAAGTAACTAAAATGTAAGTAACGGTAAGTAGCGGTATCTTTGCCGTGCCAATCAATCATCCACGTCGAAAAGACTAAGTTAGGATTGTCAGGAGTATATCAGATAACACAGAAATTTGAGACACACACAACAGGATTTTAATTCTTTTCCTCTGTTAAAAAAAATTTTTGTAACGTCGTTACTATCGTTACTACGTCAAAAACACAACAGTTGTCTCATATTTCTATTTTTTTTTAAACGCTCTTTTAAATTCGTGCTAAATCGTTGATGGAAAAATAGTCGAAATAGTGAAAAATTCGATTGCGTCAAAGATACTGCCACGTCGATTTCTACGAATTCCAAGCGTTTAAGTGTCTCAAAAAAATATATTTTGTTAGAGAATAGCGGGACACATGGGATACGGGGACGTGATACAGGTCGTAGGTTGTTGTCCCTGGCAAAACACAAAAAGGAAAAAACAGGGGAAAACCAACTAAATCCAGCGTTCAATCGCAGCGAAATATACAGGGTGCGAGAGGAGTTCCCCGCGTGCGGTCGCGCGACTTTTTGTAAAAAGTGCGTCCATTACAGAATCGAGGAGCGTGTCAGAAAGATGAAAAAATTCTTGTAATTTTTAGTTACAACAGATACGTCATTTTGCAGGATTTAGTTCGGAAAAGTTCGAACGTCCTTGACACGACGAAATATATAATTAAAGGGTTTCCCACAAAAAAACTAGAATTTTAGAAAATCAGAAATGCAATATAAAAACTATATGTTTTGTTAAAGAGTACAGTCTGATTAATTATTCTAATAAGGAATTACCATGGCGTTGTGATTACGCAACTTATACACTTAATCATTATTCATAAGGTACTAACATGGCGGTGGCGAAGTATTATAACTTAACCGACTGAAACCCAGTTTCCACAACTCACGATTAACTCTTAATCGAGGTTTAACTTATTTTTCATCTCTTTCCAATTCTAGAATTGGAGTCTGAACCTCGGTTAAGAGTTAGCCGTGAGTTGTAGAACTGCGCCTCAATGTCGCATCAGGAACAATTAAACAGAAAATATAAAAGTTGTAACAATTACAATGGATGTTCATGTTAAGAGTATTTGTAAAATTTTGTAAATATAAGAGGTGAAAAATTATTGCTTCATACTTTAAAAATAGTAAATCCTTTGTCAATATTAATGTTACAGTTTTTTAACTATTTTTTAAGGAGTCTTCAAATTGTTCATTAAAGTCAAAAACTTATATCCGTCCGGAGAAAAATTATCATATTTATACACTAAACGGTTTAAAGATTAGAAGTTTTTTTGTTTTCTAAGAATTTAATTTTTTGGACTTGATTTTTTATTTTTGTGAAAAACCCTTCAATTTAATACGCGTCGATTGTTTTTTCCAGACACAAAAGATTACTTTCTTTAATAATTATATTCTCCTATTTTTCTCAAAATTTTTATTTCTTTAATAAATTAATTATTCTTTCACTAATTCTCTCGTGAGGGAAAAATTGACACACATCCTTTTTGCAATGATCCATTTTACGATTCAGAGTTGAAAAGCTACGGCGCGAACGGGGAACGATCCTCACGTCCTGCAAGGCGCGCGGTCTTTCACGAGCGCATCCTCGATTGGAGACGAGGAAACGATAAAGGACTTGCGGAGTCCTTCGTGGTGCGTTTGTCTATCCGTTTGGTTAGATCGAGACATTTACATTTTCGCACACGAACGGGGGTGCCGTTCTCGGGCGGAGATTGAATCGGGAGATGCTGTGTTCTCGCAGACCTCTCCTTCTCCCTACTTTCTAGACTCCCAGCTGGCATCTTCTGTGCTGTCGACGATCATCTTCGGACGACGATGACGACGACGAGGAAGGAAGACTGTTTGCAAAGTTGTATAGGCGGGGAACGAGGAGAATACAAGAAGAGGGGCCACAAACTCGAGACGAGAAACGAAAATGAAACGAAACGTTATCACTGTTGTCTTTTTTTCCGTCCGATTCTTTTTGTGCGAAAATTCGATTGTGAATCATCTTGCAAAGGGAAATTTTTCGTGTGAAAGTTATGGAGAGAGAAGTATGGAATTAACGAGAATCATCTATGCCGAGAAAACCTGAGATGTGACATATATGATCTAATTGGCTGTTAAAGAAATGATCTAATTGACTATTAATTGCTTTTCATTTGCATCAAAATTCAATAATTGAAAAATAATGTTTATTTGTGACGTCATGACTCAATTAAATACATATTCCTTTTCACTCTGAGGTTCAATTTTTTACCTATAATCTGCACAAACCATGCTTAAAACCATATGTTTTAATTCACATTGAAAGTTATACTTTAATTAGAGAGTTATAAACTTATGTTGTTATGCGATAACTTGATCACTAGTGTAAACAAGTAATGATGTCATTATCTGAGTATAAAATATTCACATAATTTTGGACTCACAATCAGTATCATTTATGTAAAAATGGAAAACAGCTATTGTAAAAAATTAACATGGCGCTGTGATCATGTGATTTAGGCAACTAATTAGTACTCATATTTAGGTATCCGTAAAGAACTGATATGGCGGCGTCGAAATAATCATCGCATGTTCGATTCTCTAAAACTCTAAAACCACCAGGAATCCAAAAAAATGCGGGAAAATGAATGAAACACTACTTCGTTTTTTTCTTCATTCGTCGCGCTCGTTCACTTGATCTTTGCTTTTGTTTTAACACGATCGATGTTTGAGAAACTAATTCATTGCGCCGATTTCTTATTTTAGACGTGAGACTGCTGTCTGCAACTCGTAAGAATCATTTGCGGGAATTTTAATGACATCTTCGTCGTATATAAAACCTCTCGAAACGTCTCGAGTAATACTTTATGTTTGTCTAATTAAACATGTCGATGTGAATTATGCGGGATCGCTCTCAATATTACGCGTTAATATTACAGGTGACAGTTATTTTTGCCGCTTTCGATCCAAGTTCTCATATTTAGCGCTAATCATAGTCGTTGATTTTAATCCGTAATGAAGGTATATGTGTCAAAACAACGTAAATCGATGTATAACATTTCGTTTTTAGGAGTGTTGACCTGAACAATTTACTGCCTTATCCATTATCAATATCTTCTACCGATCTTTTCGCCTGAACAACCTGCCGACTTCGAAGATCTTAATTCTTGAACAATTTTAAAACGGCTTTTTATCTTATCACGCGCCGTAGTAATTAAGCCCCGAGTTCGATTTCTGCAAAGAGAAAAGAATATCAGTAGGAAATGGAGCGAAAATGGTGAACACTTCTCTAAGATTTCCACCGCGTGGCACTATCCGCCTCCGAATTTCCTTTTCTCACAGGGTGTCCTCTCTTCTCTCTCTCTCTCTCTCTCTCTCTCGTTTCGTACCACCCTGCACGCGAGACACGTATGTAACAGTTGTGAACTACGGCGTGTAAGCATTGTACAACAGAAAGCCGGTTCCCACTGAACACCCCGTTTCTAGTATGTGATGGAGAACGAATGTATGGAGATAGTAGGAAGAGAGACGGAGAGTCCCGCAGAAGAGAAAGAGAGAGAGAGAAAGAGGGAAAGAGAGACTAAGTGTGGCGTGCATTGTGTACGGCCTACATACATATACGAGGTGTCTCGAGCGTATTCGCTGCCTTTCGGTCGCAAAAGATCCGCATTTGTCTTAAAATTCAAAAGTCCCCGCATTAATTATATGGAAAATTAAATTCCAGTCGTTTTGATGAGTATGGCTTCACATATAATGTGATGTGGACAAAAAATGTCATAGACACTCTATCGTAATAATGGATAGTTTCTTAATAATGGATAAAAAATGTAAAACTTCTGCTAATTTTTAAAACATTATCAATTAGCTCAAAAATTATTTATTATTAAGCCTTGTGACACTTTTTGTTCATCACGTTACAAGCTATATTATATGTGAAAACTGGAAGTTAAAATACCTCGGCGAGTTGATTTTGTCGACGGCAAGATCTTTCTTATCTTTTGGATATTCGTATATTTTGTACAAAAAATTCAATGTCGATTTTGGTTGCTCAAATACTTTTTTATTAAAAAGCTGGAGAGAAGATACGTGACTTTAAATGGATATTTTTGAAAAGATTGAATATAGAGAT